TGTGTGTGTGTGTGTGTGTGTGTACACTTTGTTGACAGGCAAGAAGCTGGAGGGATGTGGGAGAGGTGATGGGGAGGCAGAAGCATAGAAACCATGTTCTGCATGAGGTGACGTGGTGGATTCAGAAGGATGGGATGGCTGAAAGATCCTGACCTAATCCTTGGAGGTTGCGCAGGTCTGGATGAGGAGGAACAGGCTCTGCCTCAATCCTGAAACTACACAGTAGCTTCATTTTTGGCCTCCCTAATTCCGGAGACATTCTGTGTTTACTTTTTCATGGGATTGCACTTCCAAATGAGACTAGCATGAAATTTAGGGTTCCTCTTGGACTCACAACTCCAAAAGGAGATGGCAGCTACGCCCAAAAGGAACTTTGTACAATTACATCTGGTACATCAATGAGCGTGTTCCTGGATTGGAGGAGTTTCAGACATTCACCCACGCCTTGATCAACTCATGGTTGACTGTCATGAGCTCCAGATTGGGCGGGCTATACAGTCTCATAATTGTTATCCATCTGCAGCATTATTGTTAAAGGAAAGGTGGAACATAAGCGACATGTAAAAGCAGACACTGTGTTGGAATTTATCAGATGAGGTTTCAAGTGATTAAAAGCACCAGATGATTCTCACCTGAATATTGTCAAATTTTAATCCCGGCATGGTCACATTCTCCTTGTCTATGAAAATATTATTATACGGCTGGGTGGCCACTGAAATCAACACATTCCTCGTTGCCTCACTAGGAAGCCACGCGTCGTTTCTTCTGTCCACCTCACTCATGTTCAGCACGGAGGCAAAAGGGTCATCGGCGCTTTGAAAAACAGCTTGAATCTGGGAAAATGGCTTTGGGGACTGAGATATTTCTGGAGAAGATGCGGATTTCCCAGGTTCCGATCTTCCATTTTTAAGAGCGTATTTATGTTTAACAGAGTCGCGCAATTCCCCAACTGTTACAAGAGAAGACATCTGTTCGGGTACAGATGCGCTGGCATTGGGGTTGCTGACCGAAATAAAGGATGACGTAGTAAAGGAATCAAAGAAATCAGAAGCTAACGTGTTATTACTAATGGCTTCCCCAAAGAATTTGCTTAGGCTTGGGCTAGGCTGAACCACCTGCGGATGAATTTTCACCGGAGTCTCACTGACAGCACCAAGGCTGGGTGATTTCACCATTTGAGGTTCAAAGCCATCATGGAGAAACTGTTGCTGGCCAGTTGTTTGGTTTCCCTGGCTAAAGATGGTACAGATGGGAATAGGTTCTGCGTCATCTGGTGATTTAATGACAACCGGAACAGAAACAACTTCCTCTGGTTTGCTTTCTTCAACAATGTTCGATGGAGACTTTAAAAGTTTGTCACATTCTCCTTCCAGTTCGTTTTTTGCTGGCGTCTGAATCGGACTTTCATTTAAAGAGGACTGATAGTCAATTCTCGAATCGGAAATACTTTTGGCAGCAGCTTCGAGTTTTGTGTCCTTCTCATTTCTAACGACTTCGTGTCTCTCCAAAAGCTCCTCTCCTTCTATTGCTTCGGTATCGTTTGCTTCAATTTGTTTGATTATTCCCTGCAGGCAGCCAAGGTCGCCGGTATCATCTTCACTGTTATTTGGAGAATCAGATATCAGGACGCTCTCCATCATGTGCTCACTCAGTTTATCTATGAAGTTACTGGAGTCGTCTGCAACGTTTCCGTTTTCTTCAGATGCAGATTCATCTCCTCCCAGATCAATGGTTTCTTCGTGGAACAGAAGTTCCTCAGAAGCTTCCTGTTGGGTATCACAAATGTCAGCCATCGCGTTCGGACTTCTTACTCCAATGTCTTCAACGTTGCTTTCTGGTTTTTCCATACTTCTTCTACATAAAAAAGAAATTGCTACTGATCAGTATACATGCAGGATGATTTATGCATAAAGCAACAATATACACAGCCACTGCAATAATTAAGAACACTGTGTTCAAAGTATGAAACATTTTATTAATAAATTCCTCACCCCCCTTCTACTTGCTTTTTTCTTAGCATGAAAGTAACGGTTGAAATACTAGCTATCTTAACAATGAGCTCTTGACCGGGCTAAAATATAGGATAGATCCAGCTGGGGCCTTTGGTCTCCTTGACTATCCATTTTTCCACTTGGGAAAGTATTGTGCTACAAGGCNCTTCAGGTGCTTTGGAGAATAGATTGACCCCCACTTCCTTGTGGCAGACCCCCCCCAAATCCCGGAAGAGGGCTATCATGTCACCCCTCATTTGCCTTCTGGAGAAAGCGCCTTCGGGGGAGCCGTGATTGAGAATCTCCACAGACACCAAGTGGACAGAATGTCTCAAGCTTCAAGACCTGTGGAGGTCAACTCTAAGTAATTCCCTGGGTTGCGTCTCAGGGGGCAGCATGGGGGGGGCACTCTGCACATGGACCGAGACCCTGGCCATTAGCGGATTCCAGGCCTTCGCCCCTCCCTCCACCCCAAGGAACCAAGGTGCCAACAACGAAGGCCCAGAAGTGGCAAAGTGAAGCAACAGTAATGATAATAATAATAATCGTGGTAATAATTACAATAACAAACTTGCTGGTATAAGTTAATTACTGCACGGGGTCATTAGCATAATAATGAGCCTTTTGCCATAACGAGCTAATTGCTGTAACAAGGGACTCTTTCTGCCTGATCATCAGCATAACAATAAGCAAATTGCCACCACCAGGAGCTCATTATGGGGCTTCATTAGCATACCAATTAGCTCATTTGAATGCCAAAGTGCAAGTGGCTCCTTGTAGGGCCCCGCCCTGCCCTGCAATTCGTCTTGAGGGAGCCTCTGGTGGGGCCACTCCTGGGGAGCCCCTGGAGATCGGGGAGCCTCTCCTGGAGGCCCCCCCCAGAGGAGAAGCGGTGATTAGCCCTCCCTAAAACGCCTCTCTTGGGGGGCTGGATGACAGGGGATGAGGGGGGGACTTGAAGCTGGCTGTAAGCAAAGCTAGAGCTGGGGGGGTGGTCAGAATCCCACCCTTCATCCTTCAGTTGCGGAAACTCCGGAACCTTCTTGTTCTTTCCTTGCTGTTCTGTGCCTGCCTGCTTCCTTCCAGTCCTGCCTCGCAGGGTTCTCTGTTGGATTCCCCCCCCCCCCTGCCGCCTCTCGTCTTTGAAAGGCCTCTGGCTGCAGATAGGGTCCTTGTTCCTTTGTTCGTTTCTCTGGTGTTTCTTCCCATCTCCCCTTTATTAGGTCTGCAAATACCTCAAGGTAGTGAATATATCCAACATACCTTCCTCCTCCTATTTCCCCCCCCCCATAAGAACCCCATCAGGAGGGGTGGGCTGAGAGAGAGAGGGGGGCAGGGAGGAAGGGAGGAAAGAAAGAAGGGAGAGAGGGAGGGAGAAGCCCATCTCACCCTCTCCTTCTGTGCAGCGAGCGTGACAACTGTGAGCTTGCAAAGAAGCCCCCCTCCACCCCCTCCCCTCCCAGACTGGCCACTACTGGTGAGCAAAGCAGAAGGGAGGAAATTCCCTCTCTCTCATCCCCCCCCCCCCGCCAAGAGGGATGCAGCAAAACCTTTCTGGGCTCAGCCGGGGTCTCTTCAACCCTGAGTAAGCCTCTGCGGGAGGAGACCCCTTAAAAGGGTGAAGCCCCTCCCCTCCGGCTGCTGGCTTCCCCCTTTTCTCTAAGGATGGATGCCTCCTGCAGTGCCCTCCCCTCCCTCCTCTGCTCTCCGGGGGTCCCTGGATGGAGGGGGGGGGGCACTTGGCGGGAGAAGCTGCAGAGCCAGCAGGAAGAACCCTTTCCAGAGAGTAATTAGCAAACAGACACCAGCAATGCGGAGGAGAGAGAGAGGCAACCAGCCGGCCCAGCTGGGCAGAGGGAGGGACCCACAGCGCCCAGTTCGGCCATTGAAAGGGGGGCTCCGCTCTCCGGTTCTCTGTACAGGGAGTCCTCGACTTATAGCCGTTCATTTAAGGATGGTTCAAAGTTACAACGGCACTGGAAAAAAATGACTTAAGACTGCGTTTCACACTTAATGACCGCTGCAGCATCCCCATTTGCGACCTTCCCAGCCGGCTTCCTACAAGCAAAATCAAGGGTGGGGTGGGTGGGGGAGAAGCCGGATTCGCTTAACAACAAGTGTGATTCACTTAATGACTGCAGGGATTTGCTTAACAGCCGTGGCAAAAAAAAAATTGTAAAATTCGGGCAAAGCTCCCTCAACCACCGCCTTGCTTAACGACCGAAATGTCGCGCTGCAAAGGCTTAATATCCAAATAGCCAGCTCCTTTCTATGGCCTGTTTACTGCGCTCTGAGCAACCTGCAAGGGGAGTTTTTAAATCAAGGATTAAATCAAGAGATTCGGTCACTTGTGGCTCCTCTGGTTTTAATAATCAGGGGGCGTCGTTTCCAGCTGCAGGGCTGCGTCTTGAAGATCCCGGGACCCCAGAACTGCGGAAGAGCTCTGCAAAACGCCCGCCAGGCCGAAGGGGCATCGCAAGGAGACCCCCTCTGTTTCTCTTCACCCTCCTCACTGCGGACAGCTGGGTCAGCAACACCAAGGCAGCCTGGATCTGATGGGGGGGGGGCTGGGGGGAGTAATTACGCCTGGACATTGATGGATGGATGGACGGCCTCCACAAATATCCCTCCCATGTACGGCTTGTGCAAATAAAGGTTATCTTGTACGCCTCCACAATCAGTTGCACCCTTATTTCAAGTGCTTGGACCAGAGATTTCCAACCTTGGCTGCTCTGCGATGGGCGGACTTCAACTCCCAGAATTCCCCAGCCAGCAGAGCTAGTCCAGCCATCATAAAGCATCATAAAGGTTGGGGAACACTGAGATAGGTAGGTAGGTAGGTAGAGAGAAAGAGAGAGAGAGAGAAANCGTTGCAGCATCATGGGGCCATGCGATCCTCTTTTATGACAAGCAAAATCAAAGCAGGAAACCAGATTCGCTTAACGACCGTGTTACTAACTTAAGAACTGCAATGATTCACTGTGGGAAGAAAGGGCATCAAAATGAGGCAAACTCGCTTAGCAAACCGTCTCACTTAGCAACAGAAGTTTTGGGGCTCAGTTGTGGTCATAAGTCGAGGACTGCCTGTCGTTCAAAAGAACGTCTTTAAGGCTGAGTTTGCAGTTTGCAACCCTTCCTTAGGATGACTTTTTGTTTAAAACAATGTTTTTCAACGTTTGGCCACTTTTAAGGTCAGCGGACTTCAATTCAATTCAAGCAAACCTGGCTGGGGAGTTCTGGGAGTTGAAGTCCAGCCTTTTTCAGGTCACCAAATTTGAAAAAAACCCTGCTTTAAAAGCTACAATAAGAGACGGAATGTTGAAGCCGCCGGAGAAGCAAAAATCTTCTCAAAAAATATGCCCAAGACATTTTGAGGCCCCTCTTGGCTGCATCGCCTCTTTTATCATGAAAAAAAGCTAAATTGCTCCCTAAAATCGCCTCTGGGACGGACCAAGATCCATAATTAAAAACGCCTGTGCAGCAAATTCATTTTAAAAAATTGCCTTCAAGGCAAACATAAAAATAAATAAAACATGTGACCGCAATATGCAATTCGGCAAATCAATACGAGCTATGTAGAGATATTAAAAAAGGTCAAAACCAGCGGAAAGCGGGACTCCTTTTCGATAGCCCCCCCACCACAATTCAGGAGAGCTGTGGAGTCCCAGGCGCTTCCCAGGGCTTGCCACTAGGCGGCGCTGTTGGCCAAGGCATGGCAACAGACCAAAGAGATGCGTGTTTAATTGTCTGGGCGTCCACAAGGATGGGCATATCGGAGGGCAGTGAGAAAGGAATGGAATAGGATGAAGGAGCCGGAAGGGACCCTGGAGGTCTTCCAGTCCAGCCCCCTTGCTCAAACAGGAGACCCAGGACCATTACAGACAAGTGGCTGTCCAGTCTCTTCTGGAAAACCCCCATTAAGTTCTGGAGGCAACTTCTGTCCCACTGGTTCATTGCTCTCCCTGTCAGGAAATTCTGCCTTAGTTCTAGGTTGCTTCTCTCTTCGATTAGTTTCCACCCATTGCTTCTTGTTCTGCCCTCAGGTGCCTTGGAGAATAGCTTGACTCCCTCTTCTTTGGGTAGACTAAAAACATCTCCTGCCCACCGCATGCCAGGGTGCCCACTGATATGAGCCGAGGTGGCGCAGTGGTTAGGGTGCAGTACTCCAGGCCACTTCAGCTGACTGTTACCTGCAGTTCGGCGGTTCAAATCTCACCGGCTCAAGGTTGACTCAGCCTTCCATTCTTCTGAAGTAGGTGAAATGAGGACCCAGACTGTGGGGGGGCGATATGCTGACTCTGTAAACTGCTTAGAGGGGGCTGAAAGCCCTATGAAGCGGTATATAAGTCTAACTGCATTGCTATTGCTATACACAGGGGCAATAATGGTGGGTTTTAAGCCTCTCTTTTCCTGTCACCTGCAGCCCTTTCACAGCACAGGGGAGAAGGCTTCCTTCTCGAATTTGGGAAGAAGAGGTCGGGCACCTCCTTGTCTGGAGTGCCACAGGGCTGTGGGGAGACCGACCCTGGCATCCTGAAGCCTTGTGGACTTCAACTCCCAGAACTCCCTAGCCTGCCTGGGGGTTTAAATCTCCCAATTCTGGGAATTGAAGTCCAAGAGTCTGGAAGTTGCCATGGGTGGACTCACTCCTCCACCCTGTGCCATTCTGGGAAACGTGCAGTCCAATATCCTTTTGAAAACCTTAGTTCTAGTCTGCTTCTCTCCTTGCTTAGTTTCCACCCGTTGCTTCTTGTTCTGCCCACGGGTGCTTTGGAGGATAGCTCGACTCCCTCTTCTTTGGGGCAGCCCCTCAAATACTGGAACAATGGTATCATGTCTCCCCTGGTCCTTCTTTTCATTAGACT